GATATATTGATGTGGTAATAAACATGACACATCACTACACATTACTACATCAATATCGCACGCATACATACTCACAAATTGTCGGTAAAACAGCGGATTTTTGGAGTTTAGGATCCTCTTAATAGTTCTCCCACGCTTATTTAAACGATTATTAATGAAGCTAACATTTATCCACGATGTAATCATTCAAATAATGCGGTCATCGACGCGGTCTGTTGGATCGGCGATCAGGTTAATCTGCCGCTTCTGCCTGTTCCGTCAGCGATTCCCGTGAGTTGTTGCTGGGTTCCTGGTTGTCTTATCCCGGCTGATTCCCTGGTATCGTCATCAAATCCTCAATGATTGAACCTTGATCATTTTTATTAAGATCTGGTTCATCAGGTATCCCTGTAAATGATACCGATTTCTTTGGTTGAACATCGATTGGTCGTAATTGATCAATACATACGTAACATAATTGATCAATATGCCGCTTGAACTTGTATCCGTCATTCAGTTCTATCAAGTAATAAAGCTGTCCAAATTTTTTGATAATTGTTCCTGGCTTCCACTGTGCTTTGTTGTTCGAATAATAGCGCGGTTGTACATGCTCTCCCACACTTAACTGTCGAGTTTTGCGGTCTGGAACAGTGGACGACTGGAACTTAATTTGGTTTGAGTGCGTCAAATACGAATTTGTCTCTGCAAATATTGTTCTGCAGGCGTTTTGTTGTTGTTTGAGGTGTCGCTCGATATCGAAATAGTATCTCCCGTACTTTTTGACGCATCGATAATGGTTCATTGACTATGGCTGCTAATCTGTGATTGAGGGTTTGTATATTCCTTTCAGCTAAGCCATTCGTAGCTGGATGACCTGGGGTGATGAATTTTTGAAATATTCTTGCTTGTTTGCAGAAGTTTTGAAATAATTTGCTAGTAAAAATCACGGCGTCCGATACCATTACGTCTGGAAAACCATGACGCGAGAAAACGTCTTTTAGTAGTTCGATGGTTGATACCGATGTTGACGCTGCCGTACAGAATTCGATTTTTGCCCATTTTGATTTAGTGTCAATGATGATAAGAAAATGGTGTCCTTGATACGGACCCGTATAATCGATGTAGATGCGTTGCCAGTTGCTCTCTAATTCCTCCCATGGGTGTAGGGGTGCTTTGACTGGATTCCCTTCCTAGCAAACCAATACGTAACTGTAATATAATTAAGGGAGCACATGGAAAGAACAATGATATATTTCATGGTTATAGAGATGATATGTAAATGTAATATAATTTTGAGGGCACTTTAAAAGAACAAAGATATATTTCTTTGTTACGTATATAATACATAACAATTACTTAAAAATGTAATGGAACTCACAATACGTAACTCAAAATACATAACATAGATGGAACAATTGTAATCTTTCAGCAATA